ATCCATACTTTCCCCAGGGGACGCGTCTCCCGCCCCTAATCCTATCCATACTTTCCCCAGGGGACGCGTCTCCCGCCCCTAATCGTATCCTATCCTTCCCCAGGGGACGCGACTCCCGCCCCTAATCCTATCCTATGGTGAAGGAGACAGAGTTGTGTCACAGGACCAAACATACTCTTCGTTTCTAGACTGCAGACAGCACGTCCCCTAGAGAGAAGGGTGTCTAAACAGGGAGAGTATTTACGACATCACGCGCTCAATGGCGGGTCCTATGACGCAACGCTGTCTCCCTCAACCATAGGATAGGCACGGCGACGGGGACGCGTCCCCCTTGGGAAACGGATTGAATACGGCTTCAGGAGAAAATGAAAATTGCTCGCGCACCTGAAGTCTCTACTTCCAACCTATGGTATAGTCCCGGTTTTAACAGGAAGGATATGTTTCATGCAGTTTTTAAAGCATGGTCACCACAAAGGTGTCCTGCGGGGTTTTCCTCGAATTATTGATGAATTGTTGAATTGTGCAAGAAACAATGTGGTTGCTATCATCTTTGTCGTACTTCTCTTTCTCTTATAAGTCTTGTAAACACTTGTCATACCGAGCGCTCAACTTGGCGCGTACCACGATTGCCATTGATATCTTTAGAATTTGACTTCATTCCATCTAGTTTGTTCTGCAAAATGAGCTGAGTAGGAAGCACATTTTTATCTGTAAAAGAAATAATTATGATTTCAGTATGCAAAATATGACAAGGATGAGCAGAAGGTAATGGAGCGACTCCAAACGATTGCACATCATGTTAATGCGGTTGGTCATTGAACATTTCCATTTCCAGTCTATTTTTCGGCGGTGATAATTCACTGCTGTCGTCGAATTTGGTTTACAGTTTTTCTGTTCAGCTATATTATCCGTTGAATATTCGCATCACATTGGTATGGGTAGACGTTTGGAAAGATGGTGACAAGTTTGAAGTTGTGACGAGTGGTGATCGCACCTTGGATCAGTTCCTGAATTACCGAAAAGATATCATCAAGGCTCATCCTAATGACAACGCTCATATGATCACGTGAGATTTTTTTTCCACTTCTAAGACTTTAGAGTCACTTCCAGATAAACAAGATAAATTTGAGTCTAGGAAAATGAGGCTGGCCAGCCAAGGCAGCTTGCGTGAACCTACTAATCCTGCTTTTTCTCATTTTCTCGTACTACTTTTACTACATTTGATGAGGCTTTCCTTGTTGGACTCCTTTCCTTCCTCCTCACTTCACAGTCACCATGAGTACCAACTAAGGGAAGCACATGCTCAAACTTTTTCCTTTGCCTTCATCTTTCTGTCGACCACTTCACAGTTTTCGAGTAAACTCTTCCGTCGTTTCATTTCGATTCTTCTTTGACTCTTGCTCATTCCCCTCCCAACTCCACTATCCTCTTTTCGTTTCTCTCACGCTCTTCAGGGCTCTTTTAATTCTCTATTTGCACCGCATGCCGGTTGCTGATATGTAGCACTAGTGCATGATGGAAAAGGTTGAGTTAAAACGTTGTTAAATGCCACAAAACTTGAAAAGGAGCCGAAGTAGTTCGAGTTTTTTGTATTATTTTTATTCATCGCGGTTCACATGGTTATTTTTATATAACTCTGCGCTT